TATTCTAGATTGGGCTTCTGAAACTTTTTTGTCTTAGAACACAGGCAAGCATGTGTCAGAATCTGACAGAAATGCCTCAGATTTATTATATGTTTGATTTCGAACACATTTTTGATTTGGGCATGTCCAGAAATCTGTGACTATTGCCACATTTTCACAACATTTGGAATTCAGTTACAGGATTGTGACCCCGAGTTCTAGTTATCTATCCACTGTGAGATCAATAGCTGGCAAGTATTTTTTCCCATTCTGTAGAGGTTCATTTCCCTCTGATAATTGTTTCATTGGCTGTGAAGAAGCTTTTTTAATTATGTAAATCCATTAGCCAATTCTTGATATTACTTTCAATACTATTGAAATCTATGAGAAATTTATCACTTGTAGCTGCTTCTTGAAGTGTGTCTGTCAATAGGTTAACAGATACCAAAAAAGTGGCCATGGTGTTATTTTCAAAAAAATGAATGGCATAGGAGGTGATCGTGCTAAGAGAAAAAAGCCAGAGTCAGGAAGACAAGTATGACATTCTTTTATATATGGAATTCAAATTTTCAAAAATGTGAGAATATATATTTGTGTACTGCATATGTGGCATGAAAATAGAAGGAAGCTGGCCAACGGGAGGGAGGAAGGATGAGAGAAAATAATGGAGAATGAATATTATCCAAGTTCATGATGCACATACATGAAATTATCATAAAGAAACCCAATTGGTTAAAATTTAAAATGCAATAGTTAAATTAATTGTGCTCACATAAAAATTCTATTAAAAGGTATATATTGGCCATATTAGTTTTAAAGACCAAAAGCAAATATAATTCACTTAAAAATCTATTAGAAATAGAAAATATATTCCTTGCTTTGTAAAGAAAAGTGCTAGGGGGAAAAAAGTCCTAGGGCATAAATAGACAATAGATCAAAGAGGATCTGAGATTCTACAGATTTGAAACACATACAGATAGTGATTAAAGTTGTCAAATGCCTTATGGCAATGTCATTAATTATGCCTGATCTTTCTATTTGTCTTTTTCTAATAACATATTCATTTTCTTTATTTTAAATCTGGCACCTCCCCAACAGTATTCTTACAATAGTGTTAACAGTACTAGTAATAGTAATAATAATGTTACATTTATAAATCTTTCAATTCTATCAGTTAGATGTGAGAACAAAAACATCTTTTGTCTTTCAACTGTTGTAATTAGCATAAATCATTTATTCTAGTAAGTTTTAGGGGGTGAGTAAGATAGGTAGAGGAAATTAACTTTGGTCTCATTATTAAAACATGAAAAATGATATGGACACAGGTTTTTGTTTGGTTTTGGTCATGTTGTGGTAGGGTCTCATGAGTCCCAGACTGGACTCAAAGTCACTACATAGCTGAAGATGGCCTTGAATTCCTGATCCTCCTGCCTCTGCCCTCAGAGTGATGGAATTAACAGTGTGTGTCATCACTCCTGGTGTAACATGTGTAATGTGAGGTGCTGGGGATTGAACCTAGGGCTTTATGAATGATAGACAAACACTTTACCAACTAAGCTATGTCTCAAGATATTTCTAAAGGAAACTTTATTGTAGCAACCCATATTGAAACATCTTTCTCTAAGAGTTTTCGTATGAGTAATGAATATGTTTTAAATAAAAAAATGACCCTACAGGTACAACTTATATAATTAAGTAATTAAGGAGGTAAGGGCTTGAAGACATTGCTCATTTGCTACAGTACAAACCAGAAACTGACTTGGAGAGATCTACCAAAAGATGCCTTTGGAGAACCACAATTTTGGGTGACTTCCACCTTGGGAAAAAGCCAGGAGTATGTGGTGACAGAATGAAAGATTAGTGAATTGTGATGTTTTTAAGATACATTTATATGTTTTCTTCATTTTTTTTATTTTTGGCTTTAAGCTATAGAATATTATCTGCAAGTAGGGTTTTGAGTGAGTTCCTGAGGGAAATTCACAAATGAGAAACAGGTCAGACATTGCTGAGTGGTTCCAGATCTGAGGAACATTAAAGGGTTTCCCCTGCATGGGAAATGAAGTGCTCTTGCTATGACTTGTATAAAGTATATGTGAGACATTCTTTACAATACAGAAATGAATTTATCCTTAGGACAAGAAGCAAGCTGGTCCAAGAGAATCAAATATGGAATCCAAGAGAGATGGGCGAGAAAGATTCAATTCCTTTGGATTTGCTCATTTATGTTTTCTGAGATCCTTTGCTCTGTTTGTGATTTATGAGTTCTTTACATGAGCACAATAGTCAGCTGGACAGATCACATTTAACTGCAGCCACACACGCAGAAGTCCAGAAGTTTGTAGTACAAACATTCTCACACCAAACTGCCTCAAAGTGCAGCAGGCTCAATTCTCAGGGGGATTTGATCCATTTGAGTACCTCTCTCTCTCTCTCTCTCTCTCTCTCTCTCTCTCTCTCTCTCTCACACACACACACACACACACACACATTCCATAGGGTAGGGTCTGTTCTCTCCACCTGCACTGTGTTAGAGAATGGTGTGTTCACATGCCACACCACAAGAACCCAGGGTGACATAACTCCATCCAGAGACTGGCGTGACTGGGCTGGTCCCCTCACCCCTCCTCCTCAGCTCTTGTATCACTGAGAGTCTGGCAGCCGGTTCCACGCTGACAGAGTTCACAGCATATATTAGTGGATCCTTGTTCTCAGTGCGTCTGTTTAAGGAATTAACGGAAGCAGTGACAAGGGTAAGGTAAGTTCTGTTTTAACTATAGCCCAGGGGATGCTGACTCTTTGGGACAGTGTTTAGTTTTATAAGGAACAGAAAAAAACAAAATCTAGAGGAATTTTGCCACTTTGTTATTCAACAACAATTTTGAACATTTATTTTCACATTTTACTTAATAGGCTTTCCATCATGTATGGGTAATTTCACAGTGCATGCTCGATTGATTGGCAAGGGAAATTTAAAATGTTCCAAGGTCACAGTGAGAAAATAGTTAAACTTAGATTCAAAAAGTGCAGAAATTAAAAGGCTAACCATCTATGCTAACTGGCTACATATGCTTATATTTTTTGAAACCTAGTATTGAAGCAGAAAAAGGGCACTGCTACCAGCATTCAACAGATTTCGCAATAAAATATGTTGTTACAGGTTACAATAAACATTCTGTGTTATAAAACATTAGCTGAAGGCTCAGACACTTGTATGGATTGCTTCTTCATGTTTTGCTCGTTTTAAAGATTTCTGGTTTGGGATGTACACCTTAAGGAACATGGTTTAAAGAAGTTCTGGGAAACACTTGTCTTTTTTTTTTGCAAGGAGCATTTCTTGTATGGCCACAGGTATTTGAAACACATGGGTGATAGTACAGTGTAACTTTCCCTCACAGTGGAGGTACTGTATGTTTACAAGCTTGCTTTGAATTCAGAGTGTTAGCTTTTACTATGCCAAAACTGGAAGAAATTTTTGTTACTATGCCTATTCATTAAAAAAAAATCAAAACTTATAAATGAATCAAGGAAACATTATGCATCATTAAAACATATGAGGAATTCTATTACTATGCCTTGTGTTCCTAGTGCTTAGCTATGGGCAAATCCTTCCCTCAGAATATTGGGGGATAATTTATTAGCACTGTGACTATATCTGATGTTAGCATTTTAAATGTTATTTTTTTTAAAACCTTCAGAGTTTCATTTGATGAAGTCTGTTAGGATTCTAAGCTAAAGCAAAGCACATATATTTAAAATGCGTGGTCTCCCAACTCCTGCTCACACCAAGTTTACCTGATGCAAAAGCTTGCTTCATACTGTTAACATGAAATATCACACAATGCACTCAATTTGAGTGTGACATCTTGTCATACCATTTATCTCACAGGAATACCAGCTTTTCTATAATGTATTCTGTGAATCCCAACTCTTATATTCTAGCTTTCTGTTACGTAAACGGCTAGCTTTTCTCTGAAAGTTGAAACACAATTGATCCTTTGAGAAACATCTTCTGTGAAAAATAACTACCAGGAATATTTTTCAAATCACTCGGCTTAATACCTCAGAGATGGTTTGCAGTGTCATCATTGCTATTGCTATTATTGTTTTGGTCTCCTTAATTCTTTCTTCCTTCCCAGTTCCACTTTGTGTAGAAACTAAAATTTGGGTCAGCAAATCATATCACCTTAGATAGTGGGACAAAGAAGACGAACTTACAATGCATTGAAAAAGGAAAAAAAAAAAAAAAAAAAAAAAAAACATGCTATTTTTCCCTAGCGGAGATCCTTTTTGGTTTGGGTTTAAGACCCAAGACTCTTTGACATTTCCCTGTCATTTGTTCTTCTAAAATTAATTTTCTAAACACTAGCTTCAGAATACAGTTTTCAAAGCTTGGAATGTTAAGCTGCAAATAATGTAACTATCCATCTGAGAATTCCCCACCCCCATTCCTCTGCATCCACCGCGATAACAAGGCCCTGTGAAAGGAATGTGTTTGCTGCCTCCTCTACTTCACATGCAGCAAGAGCAGCTTTCCCCCAGGGGAAAACCACAGATGGCCCCTGGTCCCCATCATGGTCTCTCTAATGAGGCATTTTAATGATGCTGATGGCAGCATGCATTGAGGAGGTTACTGTGGTCTACTTTTCATTTCTCCTGGTTTAGAGAAGTGTTCTTAAGTAGGGTTCTAACATGGTTGGGGATGGGGACCACCAGGCTTGGAGGGAAACTGGTCATTAAGGGAGGACCAGAAGCAAGGACTAATCGGTTCTGTTAGCCATACCCAGAAGGGGGCGCATGTGTACATACCTGAATCCTGTTTACCCCCAAAGGTGTAAACCCTGTAACACACCCCTATCCTTATGCTTAAATATAAAAATTTGAATGACAGTGAAGACACTATTTGAAAAGCCATCGAAAATGAAATAACAAAATGAACTTTGTTGATGAATTTAACATAAATCAAACTTTTCCTTGGAATTAGATTTATTTCGTAATAATTTGTTTCCACTTTATTTAGGATTCAAAGCACATGCTGAAAATGAATCTATGTGCACTTGCTCTTGTCCTGGCATTAGTCTGTGGTGTCGGTGGCCAATACTATGATTATGACGCCCCTCTCTTCATGTATGGGCAATTATCACCCAACTGTGCACCAGAATGTAACTGTCCCCAAAGCTACCCAAGTGCCATGTACTGTGACGATTTGAAGCTGAAAAGTGTTCCCATGGTGCCTCCTGGCATCAAGTACCTTTACCTGAGGAATAATCAGATCGATCGCATTGATGAAAAGGCTTTTGAGAATGTGACTGATTTGCAGTGGCTCATTCTCGATCACAACCTTCTAGAAAACTCCAAAATAAAAGGAAAAGTTTTCTCTAAGCTGAAACAGCTGAAGAAATTGCATATAAACTACAACAACCTGACAGAGTCCGTGGGCCCACTCCCAAAGTCCCTGCAGGACCTGCAGCTCACTAATAACAAAATCAGCAAGCTTGGCTCCTTTGAAGGGCTGGCAAACCTGACCTTCATTCACCTTCAATACAACCAGCTCAAAGAGGACGCTGTGTCCGCGTCTCTCAAAGGCCTGAAATCACTAGAGTACCTTGACTTGAGCTTCAATCAAATCTCCAAGCTTCCTTCTGGCCTCCCAGCCTCCCTTCTAACTCTCTACCTAGACAGTAATAAGATCAGCAACATCCCTGACGAGTATTTCAAGCGCTTTACTGGGCTGCAGTATCTGCGTTTATCCCACAATCAACTGGCTGACAGTGGAGTACCTGGAAACTCATTTAATATATCATCATTGCTCGAACTGGATCTCTCCTATAATAAGCTTAAAAGCATACCCGCTGTTAATGAAAACCTCGAAAACTACTACCTGGAGGTCAATGAACTGGAAAGTAAGTATAAAGCTGCCCCTTTGTTTGATCGGTTTATCATGTTAAATCTGTAAGCTTCACAACAGAGGAAGAACACATTAACATTCCCAATGGGGTGCCGCCTCCCTCAGCCTTAATGCAGGGGGTGGGGCTTACTGCTGCCTTAACTCCAGGCTTTGATGACAGAGCCCTCACCCATTGGAAGGAGTGCACTGGGTGGGGGAAGGGCAAGGTGAGGCAGGAGCTAGGGTGGGAGGGAGAACTGTGGTTGGAATGTAAAATCTAATTTTAAAAAATATATTTGTTTAAAAATAGAATGAATGAAAAGAACAACAAAATTGAAACACAGAACTCCTCCAGCTCAGTCACACATTTAATTCTTCCTAGTCTTTCCTCAGTGTGTCAAGACCAAGCGCAGTTAAAACCATAGAATTTTACACTAAATTTATGACTTATTTAATATTTGAGGGTAATCGACACAACTGTTTTATCTCTTAATATGTATCCTGTTGTCGCTTAATTTGTTCCTGGTGTAGATTTGTGTGGTTCCTTTATTATTTGGCAAGATTCACCTGAGGAAAGAGAGCCAAAAGTTCAGAAGGATGTAGTAACCACAGGCGCTCAAGCATCCTGCCACTTGTCTGACTCAGACCACACATATATGGTCCCAGTGTCCCTAACCTCTTGAGATTCAGTGTATCACCCTATTAATATGGCCAACGCCGCCTCTCTTATCTGGTATGGTGTTTGTGGTCTTCACAGTATTTTCATGAGGATGCTAAGGAAGATTAAGAATAGAAAGATGTAGAAGATTTCAGTTATCTATTTTAAAAATATCCTTACAGAGCCCTTCACTTTCCCTGAAGTCATACCTTGTCTTTACATGCTGCCATAGTTTTTTTTTCTTTTTTCTTTTTGTCCTGTGATGGTGCTGGGCTTGATCTGCTTTATGCAGGCTTCCATCCTCCTACGCTTACTTTAGTTTAGGCAATATGAAATTGGACATGAAATTAAAATATTCTACCCTAATGTTACCATGTAATAGAGTTTGGGACAGGAGTGTATCAGTTCACCAATATGTGGCAAGTCCAGGTGCAGAATACCATTGTACTTATAATTACATACAAATTAAATTTGTTTCTCTATTTGAATTGAACTTGTTTATCTAATGAAAAGTTTGCTTCCCTTGCCATGATAAACACACTGCTATCAGAAAATTTATATTGGGCATTGTGACTACATTGCAATCTTTCCACAATTTTATGTAGATCATTGATTGCATATTCTCATGAAGGAGACTGTGATTGCTAACATAAACACAATGCTCTCTGTTTCATTTTGAAAGTCACCAAAGCAAGGTTTGGAGCTGCTTGACTAAATGTCACATGATACACAGTTCAGACTGTCACAATTCATTTAGCACAATTGTTTATCGTTTAAAGTTCACCATGTTACATACAATTCATGTTTTTTTCATTTTTCCAAGTAATAGTTACAATTATTAATTGCAATAATCTGAGTCTAAACCAGTTTCTTCACATTGAACACTATACTAAGTGGCAAACTTTAAGGACATATAAAGACACATTCTTCAGTACATATGGAAAATTGGTTCTCAAATTCTCTTGCATTCCAAACTCTAAAGTACATTCTATAATGATATAATAGTTTCAAATAACCTTATGCATATCATCCCTTGTGTACCTAATCCTCCTGAGATTAATTATGAAATATGATTCTCATAAAATGAAGATGCTGTATAAGTAGTCATGTGGTATATTCTTCAGGAACAAAAACAATTAAAACATTTTGTATTACTTATATATGGAAATTTAAAAATATTTTGACCTGTGGCTCATCACAACTGTAAAAGAAGAACATCCCCCCAAAAAAATACAATGCTGCAATATATAAACACAAACAATTATCCCTATTTCAGTCATGTGATTAAGAGTTAGATTAAATTAATCTTATCTTCTTCAGGTGAAGTAATCTAAGAATGAGAAAAAGGTTAAAAAGAAGATATCAGTATTTATTGAGGGTATTATGCGTGTTGATATGCTGTCAGGTGCTTTGAACATTTTAATAACTATAATGCAACTCACTGAAAGCAATTCATTATATCAGACTTTGGGGGCAGCTGAGAGCTCTAGGTTCCCAAGCTGTATAGCAGAGATTGCATTCAAACACAGGCCTAAATCCATCTTTTTTTTTCCGCATCACACTTTCTCAAAGATGGGTATTATAGAAAGAAAATGGAGTTACACTTAAAAGCAATCCAAATAAGCATAATAAAAGAATGGAGCTCTTCAATGGACAGTGTTTGGGTTTTATTTGTTATTGTTAGTTAGAGTTTGAGAATGAAAGAAAATAGTGATCAAAGGACCAGACAAGGTAAAGTTCAAATTGGCTGGGTAAATATAGGTAGTTCTAGTAAGGGTTTTGGTTTTACTAACTTACTAGATGAGTTTTGGTTTGTGACAGCTTTTCAGCCACTGAGGAACACTGGTTACACATTCAGTGATTTGGTTTATGCCTTGGAATTTTGATCCTCAGCCATAGAGTGTGGTTGCTGGAAAATTCTTCAGTAATCATGTAGTCAAGTCTATTGTTTTTGACTGGAAATACCAAGGATGTGAGTTTTTCATTGATGAGGTTTTCATAAAATTCATATTTCTTCAGATCAAACTTCTTACTAATTCATATTTGCTGAATACATTTCTAAGCCTTACTATAAAAAATAAATAAATTCTATTTTTGAGAAGTTTCATTGAGCCTCCTGATTTATCCTTAGTGTTTATTAAATATCATTGTATCACTTTAGAAGCCTGAAATGTAAGCTCAGTGGTCTTTACTTTAAAATACATCGTAAAGATGCCTTTTCACGTGAGACATCCTTTAAATAACAATTTCAAGAGAATACAGTGAAAGGTGATTAATCTTTTCTATTTTCCCATTCACAGAATTTGATGTCAAGAGTTTCTGTAAGATCCTGGGTCCACTATCTTACTCCAAGATCAAGCATCTGCGCTTGGATGGCAATCCCCTCACCCACAGCAGTCTCCCACCTGACATGTATGAGTGTCTACGTGTAGCAAATGAAATCAATATCAATTAACATCTTCTCATTACAATACATGGGAGTATGTTCTGGAGCAATACTTCATGGTTACATATTTTGGGGATGTGTGTAAAGTTTTCACAATATTCTCTTATTGTTTTGTTGCTATTAGTTCATGGATTTTAACTGATGAAGGAAATGTTTTGTGAACATAACCACTTTTTAATAAAAGATGAAAAGCAGGCCTATTTCATCCTGAGAACAGACACACAGAAATTGAACTTAATTCTTTATTTGTAAATTTACTGTTTTCTAAAGCTCTGTGTTCATGGAAATCAGCCAAGATCTTATGGTCCCTACATTTTAGTTTAATGATCCCCAAGACAGGAAATAAATATGCATGGATGTTTGTTATCCTAACCCAAATTATCTTGATATATTCAAATTTGTGTTGCTGAAATATAGATTCAGTATTTTAAGACCAATAATTTTGAATTATACCAAAGGAAATTTATAAAACTACATCCACTTGAAGAAATGTATTTAGTACTGAACACTTGCATAGTTACTTAATGAAACTTTTCTTGAATCATTTTTCTCTGTCATGTGTATGTTTCTTTTTGATTATTTGCATGTTATGATTAACAAGCTAATAGCAAAATAAAACATTGCAAATGGCATCATGGTGTTAATTCTTATGAAAAATCATATCTCTTAAAAAACACACAAAAGAAGCCAGTCACATTCTAAGACACCCCTAGTTTGCAATATTTTACTTGTGTGATCACAAGATTTTCCACACTTTGGCTGATTCTAACATCCACATACAATGACATACCAAGCCAATTTAATAAAATCCAGTTAGATCTCACACCTCCTTGGACATTGTTGCTATTTCCTTTCTTTTTTTTTTTTTCCACAAGAATATTATACATTGTGACCCTACTGAGGAAGTATGTAAAATCTTAGCAGTCTCACTTATGAATTCTTAAATGAAAATGGTGATACACAAATGACCAATAAACTTAAAATATTCTGAAAAAATACTTTAGACGTTACTAAGTACTTAATACATTGTGTCAGAATCATAGGTATTGATTTATATATCAATAATAACATTTCAGTGTTCCATACTATGGGATTCCACAGTTGTTCACAACAGAAATAGTAAGAAATATCATTAAGGAAAACAACCCCTTCTGCCCAGTAAACATTAAAGATTTTGTTGTTTTTGTTCTTTACATTTAGAAGCTTTATCATTATTTTAATATAAGTAGATATTTTTATTCTTAGAGAACTTTGTAAAATATTATAGTCACTCTAGCTCACATAGATTCTTTATGAAATTTGTGGATTTGAATTTTTCTCTTTTTTTTAAAATTGAAAATGGATTTTTTTCATTCAGTATATTCTCATCATGGTTTCCCGTCCTTTATCTCCTCCCAGATTCTCTCTGTCTCCTCACACATCAAATTCCATACCTTATTTCTCTCTCTCTCTCTCTCTTTAGAAAACAAATGGGTAAATTAAAAAATTAAAACAAAATGAAAAAACAAAACTAAAGGCACAAGAAACACATACACAGAATCAGAAACAATAAAATGTATTCAAAATGCCAGGAAAGCAAAAAATACTAAGACAAAGCATTATGAGAACAAAATAAATCTCAAAAAATAACTTTGAGTTTGTTTTGTGTTGGCCATCTATGGCTGGGTATTGGGCCAACCCTTAACTATGGTTTGTAGACCCAGTGAGACGTCATTGGAGAAAACTAATTTTTTTTTCCTTTATAAATGATTGACAATCAGAGATTCTTGGTTAGGGACGAGAACTCATGCCTACTTCTCCCTCTCAGTGTAAAGCTTGTTTCTTTACATATATTGCGTAGTCAAAACTAAACTCATCCAGTTCCTATCCAGTATGTCTTTAAAGCATGGTGTTTTCCCATCCAAGTACTAAACAGGCCCAAACCTGTGTACCTTACAAGATCACACTAGATTGGGCGTGTTCAGGATGGTATGACCATAGACAAAGCATGGTGTTTTCATAGAACACATTTAATGAACTTATTCTACATTCCTTATTCAGTGTCCTGTTACTAAAGACCTATCTAATGAAGACTGAGATTGGAATGGGAAGAATATTGTATCAGCTGACCATGTACCTGTTAGTCTCACATCTTCTCATTGTAGAGTCAAGTTCCTTGAATTGTTACTGTTCTACTCTTCTTGATACAAACTTTAAAAAGTACTTTTCCTCAACAAATCTATTTTGTAGAGGAAACAAAATTAAAATGTATTACTTTTCCCATGAAATTCATTATTAGTTCTTGGGAACCTGTCATCAGTAGATAGAAGAAAATGTGTCATAAGGTCTCTATTTATACATGGCCCTAGATGAGCTTTGTCTTTACAGAGCTTAGGAGTACTGTTTTGGCTGGAGGTATGTATAAGTTTGTCTAAATATGTCTAAGGTTTCAAAACCTTAGACCTACCTCTTTCTAAAGTGTGATATTAAGTCTAAAATATAAGACACTAACTTAAAACAGTAATCCTCTTTGGAGTTGGGTTGAATTGTCAAAGACTACATTTCCTTGTAGAAGGATCTATCAGAGTTAACTGATCATGGCCTGGATGCCATCTTCTCATTACAGAGCTGGATAGAGATGACTCTGGCAGTATTTTCTATTTCATATCCCAGTTTTAGGCAGGTAGACAGATGGAAAAGCCAGTCATTAACAAATGCATTCTTTCCTTATGGCCCTAGGTAGGATAGTGTTTTTCAAAATGTCTAATGTGTAGCAGCATAAAGGCCCCAGATTCAGAGACCCAACAGGATGCACAGCATAGCATTCAGCATTTCAAAACAAGCAGTATCTCTGTGATTGATTATTATTTCTTATGACAATGACTCAGTAAGACACCAAGGTTAAGATAAGGAAGTCTCAAACAGTAAAAAGACACAGTTCTTTTCCTAGAGAAACATGACAGAAAGAAGCCTACTGTCCACAACACTCCCAAATGGGATTGAACACCTCTTGCATATTCACACAGTACACTTTTAATTTCTAAGAAACTGCCACTGATCTAAGATGCTCAGCCACTTCCAGGCAACTCTCCTCCTTCAGACTGTCCCTGTTTGGAATCTTGTAAGAAAGATGGCATCTGCTTCATTTTGATTGAACTTTCAACAAGACACCAAGGGAAATGCATCAAAGCAGGATGAATTTATGGTAGTAGAGTCCCTCAACTGACTCAACCAGTAGTTTTAATTTCATCTACTTCAAAATAAATTTCCCCATGAATGGAGAAAATATGGAGAAAATCTCTGACACATAAAAAATTGGATTTACTGAAACTCTTAACTGTGGTCTCTTAATTAGATGGAAAGCAAAAAAAAAAAAAAAAAAAAAAAAAAAAAAAAAAACCCTCTTTGTTCTTAAGATGTCCATTTGAAAATTAGGCTATAATAATCTCTAGTTTGAGGTTTGAGAAGATTCTCCAATGCTCTATTAAGTATAAGAAGATACATGAGTAACAGACCACTAAATAAACCAGAGGAATGCTGATTTCTTAGTAAAACATTCTTTTGCTGGTAATAGCTAGGTTTTCAGAAATACTGGTGGGTTTAAAAGAATGAATTTACAAAGAACTGAATTTCTGTGCTCATGGTCTTTTAAGTTTGGGGTTCAGTACTTCCACAGCTATGATTTTCACATAATGATGGCCTTAGATTTTTCTTTGGTTGGACACATCTACTATACAAGCTTAGAATTTATTCACAGTAAGAAAAAATAATGGTCTTGATATTTAAAGGGACCCAATGTCAACTTTAATATCAGAACTGAAAATTACAAAAAATAAGAATGACACTAACTTAGATATTCTGAAGAAAAAATGAATAGGAATGTATTTTAAAGGTAGTCACTGAAGTAAAGTAACTGATGCATGCAATAGATTTTCTCAATAAGAAGAACATGGTGGAAACACAATGTGTAAAAAAAAAAAAGTTGAAGTTTAGGTACATGAGTTCTTGCACCTATTAATCACACTGTATAATCTCAACATTTGACCCCTGTGTGGCAGAACCTCTCTCAATATTGACTGAATTGAATAAGTCTATTTGTGCCTTGTGTCTTTAAAATATATCTGGTATTCTGGATACCATCGATAATAAACACTCCACGATTTCGAGACTTCTGTGAGTCCTAAATGCTGTGGATTGCATTTGTATTTTCACAGCTTTCCTTCAAAATTTTCTTAGATTTCATCTCGAGGAATGAAATAGTTCCTGCTTCAACTCACTTCATTATGCATGCAAGGCTGCTTTTTCTTTATTTACTGTTCAAAACTAGCTGGAGATACATCATTGTTTTCTGAATATGACCAGGGTCCTCAGAAGAGGGCACACGGATCTCAAAGTCCTTTGTGATCTGATTTTGCTGTCCTCTCTAGACACCTTTTGCTAGATTTTGTAATGCCAGTTGTGTAACATATAAGATACTATTAATATCTTTTACATAAATGGGAAATTCTTTATCATAAAATTAAAGTTCATTGTTAAGACTTGTTCATTCTAATAAAAGTTATTGGTGTGTCCTTCTGTAGGTACATTTAATAATTTATTTAACAAACATTTTGTAAATTTCTTTCCAACTAGGTATAATTTTCTTGCTAGGGGAACTTTTCTGAACATTCTTATCATCCCAATGTTGATATTCTTAGGGGATTAAACACTTGTTCTGTAAGACACCAAGTGCTTTGAAGAAATATCTTCTAAGCCATAAGAGGGAAGAGGTGATTAGTTTACTGTATGACTGGCAAAGTGAATTATTTATAATAATGTCACAGGTTATAATGTTTGAAATGAGTCAAGGAATATTGCTTGTGTATGACTAACAATTAGTGAAAACAGAAGCCATGCATTTGAAGGAGAGTGAAGAGATCTTGATGGGAAGGTGTAGAAGGAGAAATTTGTAATTATAATACGTTCTCAAAAATAAAAGATGAAAGAAATAGTTTCACTCAATATTTGCAAGACACATTCCTTCTGTTAAGGGGAAAAATACCAAGGGGGTCAGGCACAGTTTGAGTGTTAACTCCTATGGTGACTACATCTCTATTTTATTCAACAAGTTCTCATGACATTAAGGGGGTCTCCAATGTGCTTACAAGTTTGTCTCTAAATGCCCCTTTCAAGCCCTGACAAAGCACAGAGCTTGTCAGTGTTTCTTAAGACATGGTTGTTGACTGAATGGTGATGGGGAAGAAGCAAACTATGAAAGTCTTTCTTGAACAGGGTTTTCCCCCAAAACTCCAACAAAGCCCTTCATTCACTCTCACTAACTTAAAACAAATATTTAAAGTCACTTTAACTCCTGGAACCACTGACTCATGTTAAACATATTCTTGGGGGTGTAAATGACAAAATTATATATATTGACAGTAGATAAAATGTACATACATACATGCAAATAAAATGTGTCATGGTTTAATAAAGCTAATTAATATTCCTATCACCTCACCTTCTCCTTCTTTGAAGTATCTGATTTGAGGACATTTTAGATCTGTCATAATAACAATACTCAAGTATATTCTAGATCATTAGCTACAGTTGCCATGTTTTGTTATAGGTCCCCATGCTTATTTGTTATATCTATATGGAAAGGTTTTCCTTGTCT